ATTGAAAACATCTTTATGTTGTTTTTCTCCCAAAAGAGATGAGAAAGGCAAATGTTCATTTTTTTTTTTATTATTTAATAAAAATGTTGGTGTCCTGGGGTTGACCCTCGGAAAAAAATAGAGAAAGTTAGCTTAGTGACTAGCATTTAGCAAGTACCTGCTGAGCATCAAAGACTTTGGCGTGTTAGAGAAGAGTAATAGAGTGGTGAAAAAGGGAAGTACACGGAATTGGGAAAGTCTAATGTATTCATTTGAACGCTGCTAAATTAATTATCATTACTATAGCTCAAAATACAGTGAGTGGTTTAAGACTAGATTGTTTAAAATTGAAAAAAGTAGAGACAGAAAGATACAATTAAAATCATTAGAAGATGTAACCTAAAAATATTATTTTCAATAGCAACAAAATTTAAAGTACGTAGGTATAGTCAAACAGGAGATATACAAGAATAATTCGTAGAAATGTATAAAAATATAAAGCTTTAATGAAACACTTTAAAGAAACCTAAATAACTGGTCAGATATCCTATGTTCTAGCATGGAAAACACAATATTATAAAGATGGTAATTTTTAAAAATTGATCTGGGCTCCTCTTCCTTGACTTGCAGATTGCAGAGGCTGCCTTCTTGTTGTATCTTCACATGATCTGTGTCTAATATTTTCTCCCTATAAAGACATTAGTCATATTGGATTAGGGCTCACCCTAAAGATCTTATTTTAACTTAACCACTTTTTAAAATTCAATTAAAAATTCCATCAAGGATATCTTAAAAACTTGACAATATAATTCTAAAATTTAAATGGAAGATAACAGGACTTATAATTGCCCTCTTATCTTCTATTTAAATTGCCAAAATGCTGTTAGAGAAGAAAAATTAAAAAGGAAGATTTGTTTTACTAAATAAAAATACAATGAAGCTATAGCAATTAAGAATACAGTATAGATGCTGGAATAGATAAATCAATCAATACAACTTAGAAATAATCCAAGCATATATGGAACTTTGATATATAACATAGGTGACATAGTAGATTAATTGAAAAACGAAGGACTATTAAACAAGAGAGCTGAGGACAGGTACGGTGGTCATGCCTGTAATCCCAGCACTTTGGGAGGCCGAGGCAGGTGGATCACTTGAGGTCAGGAGTTTTGAGACCAGTTTAGTGAACACGGTAAAACCTTTTCTCTACTAAAAAAAAATTCAAAATTTGGCTGGGTGTTGTGGCCCATGCCTGTAGTGTCCCAGCTACTCCAGAGGCTGATGCAGGAGATTCACTTGAACCCAGGAGGTAGAGTTTATAGTAAGCTGCACTCTACCCTGGGTGACACAGCAAGATGTGGTCTCAACAACAACAAAAAACAAAAACCACACATACACACACAATAAAAAAAAAAAATGGAGCTGAAAATACCTGGTTAGCCACATGGATGGGGGAAAATGGCTTCAGTTCATGGTAGGCCACATGACAAAATCAACTCCATGTGTATTAAGGTCAAAAGCAAAATTAAAGATTTTGGAAGAAATTCTAGTATAAATATTTCTAATCTTGGATGGAGCAGACTTTTGAAAACAAGATACAAAAAGTGATAACAAAGAAAGAAAATGAACTTGGTAAATTATATTACATTAATATAAAGCATTGTTCAACAAAAGATACTTTTTAGACAGTAATTAAGGTAAAACTATGAGAAGATATTCATAACATACATAATAACCCAAAGAAGATTAACATCAAGAATATGTACATCCAATATGTGATTGGCAAAAATTAAGTTTTACATGCTAAGAGTTGGAGAGGATGGTGATCAATACAATCTCTTCTGCAGTGTTGGTGGCAGTACACATTGGTACTTCTTTGGAAGACAACTGGCATTGTTTATAAAGTTCAACATTTGTATACCCTATGACTCAGCCATTCTACTTACAGTTTAACTGTAGGTGCTTGAATACCTGTAGAAAAATATTGATAGAATTTCTCTCTGTACTCTCTCTGCCACAGGAAAACAACTAATCTGGAAACAGCCCAAATGCTCTCAATGAGGGAATGAATACATGAAGTATGCTATAGTCACACAGTAGAATATTATACATCAGTGAAAAATTAATGAAGTATAACTAAATGCAACAAGTAGGGATCTTAGCACACAAAGTTTGAATTTCAAAAAGCATTTCCAGGAAACTAAAAACAGTACACACAAAAATCACAATACATTTTTAGATATAGATATATATTATATATAGCTAGAGCAAGACATAAATAATATAGAAATAGATAAAACAATAAAAATCCACAAAATTCTCAAGAAAGTCATTAGTTTTGACAAAAGAATGACTGCATAAGCATGAATATAAGTTGCTAGTAATATTGTGGTTCTTAGGCTGTTATAAATGTTATTTTTCCTAATAAACTAATGGTCTGGCCTGGGCATGGTGGCTCACACCTGTAACCCCAGCACTTTGGGAGGCCGAGGCAGGCAGATCACCTGAGGTCAGAAGTTTGAGACTAGCCTGAACCAACATGGCAAATCCCATCTCTACTAAAAATACAAAAGTTACCCAGGTATAGTGGCCAGTGCCTATAATCTCAACTACTCCAGAGGCTGAGACATGAGAATTGCTTGAATCCAGGAGGCAGAGGTTGCAGTGAGCCAAGATCTTGCCACTGAATTCCAGGCAGGGTAACAGAACAAGACTCCATCACAAAAAAAAAAAAAAAAAAAAAATCTGTCAGTGGACCATTTATGCGTTGATGTACTATTAATTATTTATTCAATTTTGTACACCTTATTTCCACAAGAAAATTTAAAAATATGATTACATTTTTAGATTGTGATGTCCCCACTCTACAGCAGCTGCTATTAGAAGGGAAGTTAGCTGACTTTTAAGTTACTCTGCTTCCCAGGGCTTAGAAAGACTTGCAGAAAACCAGGAGGTCTTTGGGAACCAAAGCAACTCTGGCATCACAAACCTACCTTGATATGTGTGGAAATACAGAGTTTTAAATGCACAGCAAGACTTTTCTGTGTGTCAATTGAAGATATTTTGAATGTCGCTAAAGTTCTCTCTCTTTAGAAAACCTTATTTTTATAGCAATCATTCTGCATTGGAGCCTGTAAATCACTAAATCTAATTTTTTTTTCAGATGACAAAGTTCAAATCCACAGAAGTTGGATTGCCTCCAGCAATGATCGTGTCATTGAAATGAGAGTCACTGGAACTAGGTAGCTTCCTATCTTTGGCCATACTGAAATCTGTGACTTTCCTTAATCAGTTTAGGACTTCAGTCACCTGAAACAGCAGCAGGAGCTATAAAGTAAACTAAATTGTGGCTTCCATGAGTCACTGATGTTCATCACAACTGGTTTCCTTTCAAACTCTAGTGGCATCTTTGGCCTCGTGGGAATGCATTAAAATGTTCCTTTTTCTGACAGTGTGCTTGCTTGCTTTCCTGTACACTCACTTTCCACTGGGCATAGTCCAACCTTTATGGGTTAGTGTTTTAATAGCTACCTTCCTCAGCCAGGAAGCAGCTTAAACTACAATTCATTCATATTGGCAAAAATAGGTCCTTTTGGGAACTACAGTCTCCAAGTCAGTTGAGAAAAACATCTGAATAGCAAAAGGATGTAGATAAAACATAACAACTAAAGAAGAAAAACAAAGAATTTTGTTTGATTGGGAGATGATTTACAGTCTAACTTTCTCAGTGTTTCTGTTAACCCTGAAATGGAAACAAAAGGCCAATTTTGATTTCATTTTAAGATTATGATTTTTATGGTCTTCTGCTTAAACCTTAGGAATGTCATTAAAAAAACAACAAAATGAAAAACTCCCCCTAAAACCCCTAGTACTATGGAGTCTAGATGAAATGGGTATTGCTTGAGAACATAGAGTTTGATGAAAGAGAAGTCCATTTTGCATTCATTCATTTCCTTGTTCACCCATTCATTGATTACAGGTATATTCTTTTTACAAAGCACTGGATATTGATTGAAACCAATTTAAAGCACAGTCTCTTGCTTCAAAGAATTTATACCTAATAGGATTTATTCCTTTATAATAAAGATAAATCAATATTTTAATCTGTCACTAAACCACAGAAACATATTTTTCAACATATAATTTAACTTTGAATAGCAAACTCATGAGAAAATATATTTAGACATTTCTTTTTCTTTAGAACATTTACCTTGTGCTTGAAAATTATATCTATAAATCAAACTGTTTAGGGTTCACCATGATTTTTATGTGATAAAAAATACAAAACACAGTACAAAATGAAAACCAAACCCCAACAAAAACAAGAAAACCTCAAAAAGAGACAAATGCCTATAGAAAAATCATTAATTTATTGAATATATATTTATTTAGTGTTCTATGTTTGGTATACTACGTTTACTGCCACATGGAGGTATAAATATGATAGGCAAAAAAAAAAAAAAAAAAACTCCACCTTCCCAGTTTATAATTCTATTGAAAGATAAGAGAAATAAACATGTAGACATAAAACCCAAAAGATACTGGGTTGGTTGTAATGTCTCCTAACACTCAAGTAAATATTAGGCTCTCCAATATCCTTTCTCAAACAACTTTTAATTTTTTTCTTTTATAATGCATAACACAATTTGTGCTTATTTTTTGACTTGGATAGTTTTTTAAAATGTCAATGAGCTCTGTTAGGCTGTAAATTCCATGAAGATAGAAATAATCTCTATCTTGCTGCCTGGGTTTTCTCAGTATATAGCACATGGAAGCACTCCATAAATATTTTTTAATGAAGCACAAAATAAATGAATGCTAGGAGAATAACAATGCATTTATTTCAAGAAACACTATATAATAATAAAAAATAATGGCAAGTATTATAATGTTGAAAATGCTTAGATAACATTTAGGGGCAAAAAATCAAACAGTGATGCAAAAGTATACCCAGAAAAGATCTCCGAGTAAAAACAGATCTTTAAAAAGAGGAAATATATAAAATGTTTTCTTTTTTTTTAGACCAACATTTCACACTTTTATAATAGACTCGCATTTATACACAAATTTCATGTTTACAAGTACAAAAGGCAAAAAACCTCAAAGAAGCTAAGCAACTGCATCATCAACTACATTCAATAGAATACTGTTTTCCCCATTCTGTAGTTTAATCCAGAGGAAATGGTAGATGCTATCTCACACATGGACTCCACTTTTGGTTTTAGAAGTTGGAGGCTGTGTGTGGTTCAGCAGAGGTCTGGGTTTCTACAGAGCTGAACTGAGACTCCATTGTGTTCCAGGCCAGATCAGCCAGAAGAAAGTTGTCCATTGCTGTTTGAGTTTCATTGCTGGTGAAGAACAAGCTCCCCAGGGTTTCAAACGCAGAACTCATGGTCTGTGTTTCTGTACTGTTCAACTGAACTTTGCTTTCTAGAGCAGGTATATTTTTAGCAGTGGAGATTCCTTCAGTTTGGGTCTCTGTGTCAGATGAATTAGTACTCACGGAAAAGCTGGAGTGTTTCAGAATACTTCCCAGAGGCAGATGAGGGCTATTGTCTAAGAAAAAGTTTAAGTCTGTCTGTGTCTGTGTGTTAGACATCTCAAAGCCTAAGAAGTTAGAATTTCCCCTACACCCATAGGACTGAGCAGAGGTATCTGCAAGTAGGAAGTCTGTTTGAGTCTCTATGTCCAGTGACTCCAAGATTGGCTCAGTGTTCGTGGTGCTAAGTTCACTCTCTTCAGTTTGAGTCTGGATATTTGAGGCTGAAAAGAATACTCTGATATCAAAATCAATTTCGGGATTCTGGGCTGGGCCAGATGAAAGCTGGGTGTCAGGTCCAGGATTTGTGTCAGACAAAAGACTATGATGATCCAACATCTGAGCAGGCAGATTACTTGACAAGATGTTTTCCAAATCACTTAATAAATCCATGGTTTGGGTCTGATTATCTGTTATGTTCTGTGAAGGAAGCATACTATTCTGTGCACTGAAGTTTATAATTGGTGCAGATTTCTCAATATCTTGATTTAAAGTCTTAGGGTCATTCTGAGGTAACAAACTATGAGTTACTGTCTCTGCTACTAAACTGTTACTTATAATGTTACCTGTAGCAACATTATGAATAAACACTCTGAAAAACGTCTCCACACATTGCAGCTTGGTCCATCTGTACGTGGTCATCCATTGGACTTTGTATCCCACTGGTTTGAGTTTCTCTGGAGACCCCACCTGACTGGAAACAGGTGTCAATAAATGCATCAGTCTGAATGGCTATAGATGAAGTTACCTTAGAGCTGGGCAAAAATGTCTGAGTGTGAACACTAATGGGAAGAGAAACTTGGGAATCAAACAACAAATCAGTTTGAGAACAAGATGACACAGAGGAATCAGTGCTGGCCCACTGTGCAGAAGGTATAAAGTTGTTTTGTGAGGCATAAGACAGATCTGTCTGCACACTGATGGAGGAAATGTTGTTCTTTTGACATGTGTTCCCTTGTTCTTGTAAAGGAGCAGATGGACTTTTACACAAGTTCACTTGTTATGGGCTTAACAGCAACAGGATTAACAGTTTTAAAAAGAGGTAGGCTCTCCTTCAGAGAGCAAGCCTCTGAATCTAGGCCAAAGATCAGGGTTCCTACCGACAAGGGCAGAAAGTGCACAGCCCCTGTGGCAGAGCCCTGATTGACACCTAACCACCACGGGCTGGGCTGAGGAGTCGGCTGTAGGCACAAAGACAGGCAAGAGAGAAAACTGCATCACTGGTAGTTTAACCAAAGCCACTTCGGGCTTTGGTAAAAGCAACTTCTGAGGATATCTTGGCAGTGTTATAAGAGTCTGCTTTTCAGTGTTAGAGCCACAGGAGTCTTCAGAAGATGGTTCTAGCTTTATTTCTGAAGCTTCTAGTTCTTGAGTGTCTGGTCTAGGGACTGGCTGGTTGTTCAATGATTCAATGGTCTTATTGGATACCTTCCGGTTTTGCAAATTTTCCATTTTCCTTTTTTTTTTACTAGGTGGATCCCTGTGTTCTGCAGGGATCTCGTGGCTAGTTCCGTGGATATGAGACTGCAGTGCCTTTCTACTGGTGTAGGGACAGCCACGTGTGCACCAGATCTTGCCACAGTCCTCTGCGTGTCTTTTTAAGTCCCATTCTATACAATACGAATCGCTGCACTTACTACATTTGTGCTTCTTCTCAGCATGCATTTTTATGAAGTGCTGTTTACGAGAGACAATTGAGAAGATGGTCTATCAGGGCCTCTGGGGCAGCCTCAATTGGACAGCAGTAGAATTTCGGTACAGTTTTCAAATCTTTTCCTATTATCGGATTGACTATGCCATCCCGCAGGTGGTGGATCTTGGCCACGTGCATGTTGAGCGCGGGGCTGCTGGGCAGGATCTTGCCGCTCCCCTTGCCGCTCCCGCGCACCGCGCACAGGATGCTGGTCGGCGCACCGCGCACAGGATGCTGGTCCCCACGCCTGCGCAGCTTGCTCTCCCACTGCTGATCAGCACCCCGGCCCGTACCGCGGGGACTGCAGGCTGCTGCGTCGCCCCCGGAGGTTGCGGCCAGCTGCCCCTCAGTCGGGGTCCCGGGGGCACCCACGGGCCCCAGGTGACGGTGGTGGCTCCTCTTGTGGACGCCAGGATGGCCCTGGTACCCGCAGCCAAAGCCGGGCGCCCTGCCACCGTCTCCGAGGCCGCCATGGCTCCCGCATGGCCGCCAGGCTCATAAAATGTTTTCTTTGGTAAAATATGAGTTAAATCATTTACTCACGTTGTTTTCTACATTTTCCAAAATTTCTAAAGTAATATATTTTTCATTTAAGATAATGAATTACAAAAGGATACATTAAATGAAGTTGACAATAGGTCCATTGCAGAGTTTGGGGGAAGTTCTAATGAGATTCTAAAAGATTGAAGGAGATTATGGCTAAAGAGATTACGGTCAGTGTGTTAATTCTGTCCTCTAGGGAAAGTACATGAGATTAGTCATGACTCCAGATGGTGCCAGGACCTTCTGTATTAGGAGTTACAACTGTTAAAAAAAAAAGTTTGTAAAGTTGAACATTTGTTTGTTGTATTTGTTAGTCCATTTTATTTAGTAAATTCTAACTCATAACAAAAATTAGACTTAATTCATAGGCCAAGTTATTTTGATTTATTTAATAGTCAAGTTTAAATTTTTCATTCAACACTTAATGAAGTTATTCAAATAGTAGTAAAAAATAATTTAAATAATATAATTGCCATTCTTATACCTAGTGTCCTTGTTTTACTGAGATATTCTAGGAACTTTGTTTGATCATGGAGTTTCTATAAGCCAAAGAATAATAGTGTCAGAGGCATTCAAATCAGAGCGAGCCCATTTTGAGTGAGGGCTAGGAAAATGAGGCTGAGACCTGTTGGGCTGCCTTCCCAGAAAATTAGGCATTCCTAGCTTCTAGACGTTTACGGTTAAGGGAACACATTAATAATGTTTACTAACACAGACTCAGACTTGGGAGCATCCAGATATCCTGATATCTGGAGAACAAAAGCATTCCTAATTTTGCTTTAAAGATAATATTGATTCTTGCAAAATGTAGTAAGGAAATTAATCCTTTATCACAAATCCTTGTAGCCGAACACATCTCCCTATATATACAAGCATTGTACCTAAGGTGGATGCGTTCCTCTTACTTTCAGGTACGTCCTACTCTGTCTATGGAGCAGCTGTCCGTTCACCACTTTACTCTCTTAATAAACTTGCTTTTGCTTTGCACTGTGCACCCACCCTGAATTCTTTCTTGTGTGAGATCCAAGAACCCTCTCTTGGGGTCTGGATTGGGATCCCTTTCCTGTAACAATAGTATTTGCACAAAAATTCTCAGAAATTTAATACGGCTTACTAGGTATAAACTGACAAGAACAATTAACTAGCACTCCCTTTCCTATCACGATTAGTTTATGAATGAAACATTTCAAACATAGCACAAGTTGAAAGTATTTTACAGTGAACATCCACAGATCTATACTATTTGTTGTTAACATCTTATTTTATTAGCTTTATTTCATATCAATATAGCAATTCTAAAATTCATCAGTCTAACAAATATTATTTTGTGATGCAGTTCAAAGCAAATGGCACTTTCCTCTGCAAACTTCAGATGCACTGTTAACGAGAACTGAACATTTGTTGCATTTGTCTTTATGTATAAAACCTACAATGAAATGGGCAAATCTTAAGTATATAACTTGCTTAGCTATGACAAATAAATACACTTGTATAACCAATAACCCTATTAACATCTGTAATATTACCATCCTTTTTCAGTTAATCTTTATCTTCATTCTTTGAAGCAAACACTGTCCTGATTTACTTATACCTAGATTAGTTCTGTCTGTTCTAGAATTTGATATAAATAGAATCATACAGTACATACTCTTTGGGAAAGGCTTCATTCACTTTGTGTCCTGGGCTATTTCCAGTTTATGTCTATTATGATAAAGTTAATATAGAGATTGTTTCATAGGAGCTACTGTGATGATGATTGTTATTAACAGAGTAGATTCTGGTGATTTGATTTCCAGGCAAAAGACATGAGACAAGGAACAGGTCAAGGGAGGAATGGCATGGAGTGACATAGATCCTCATCAGAAAAACTTTCTTATCAGACATGTTCAGAAGAGATGACACAAATTAGGTAGCATTTTTCTGAACCCATGAACATAAATTATTCCAGCCCCTACTTATTATTCCCTGAAAGGATTTTGTCAGGAAGAGCAACAACAACAATAATGATAGACTTAGACATGATGGCATGTGCCTGTAGGACTAGCTTCTCCATAGGCTGAGGCATCAGGATTGCATGGGCTTGAGCCCAAGAGTATGAGGCTGCAGTGAGCTATGATCACACCACTGCACTCTAGCCTGGGAGACAGAGCAAGGCTCTGTCTCTTAAAAAGAGAAAAGAAGAAAATAGATGCTAGTGAGTGTTGAAGACTATGGAGCAGGAATGTGTTGGGGGTACATCATTCTACTAGTGCTTGAGGTGTGCTGCTGTAGTAGGGGAGGGCTTTCCAGGAAGCCTTCCAACCTGCAAAGTGTTTCCTATAGTTAGAACAATCATAACGACTGCCTTTGGAACAGCCTTTTGTCAATGAATTATCAGAAAACTGAAAGAGGCTTGGCCACTTATCTCTTGGGGAACTTAGGGGTCCCTTTGATGTCTGCTCTTGGCATGCCAAACAGTAATTCACACAAAGATAAAAAGCATTTACAGCACTCAAAGGCTATTCTTAATAGATTAAAGCTTCATAGCTGGTTCAATGAGAAAGGTCTTTCAATACGTATTCTTTCTCTTCTAGAGTAAATATGTAATCATCCTGTGTAAATAATGAGAGAAAATTACACCAGCAGAAAGGAAACCAGAGTTTTATGATTTGAAGGCAAATGAAACAGAATGAGATGAAATTAAATGCCCAATATCATAGAGAAAATAGGCATTTTGCTGGAATAAATTTATCATCCCCAATATCCCTTTATAGTTTAAAAATGACCAGATATCTTTCTCATAGGCTTATGTTTTGTAGGTGACCCAGGTGTTATTGACTCCTGACACTGCCATACCCCACCCTGACTTCCTCCTGTTAGCTGTGACAAAGGTTGCCACACAAAATTTAAGTATTGTCTGACCTTGCAAATTGGAGGACGTCTGAATAAGGACAATCAAAGAGTGATAAGGCATAGACTTGAAGTGCAATAGTAGGGTCAGTGGAAAGTCAGTCAGTCCTAAGGAACTGATTATACTTGCAATAGGCCTTAGAAGATGGGCAGGGTCTGACTAGGGTGAGATTCTCTCTCTCTCTTTAATATGTATATTAAATATATGTATTATATATATAGAGAGATTTTATATATATTATATATAGAGAGAGTATATATATATATATAGTATATATATATATAGAGAGAGTATATATATATATATATATATATAGAGAGAGAGAGAGAGAGAGAGTTTACAATAGAAGTTTCTATATTCCTTCTTGCTGTTTCCATGTACTCTGGAGATTAAATGTTAAAGCAGGTGCAATATATTCGTTTGAAGAGATTATTGGGTAGTTTATTAACTTGGATATTCACTTTGCTCTTTGTACTATATGTCACCCTAGAATGCTACAGCCTTTGAATAATTAGACAGTGTTTATTTCTGAAGGACATCAGCACCACTGTAGATATTACACACTTAATATTTCTTATTAAACCTATGTGTGAAATGTCTGGGCCTAATTGTTTTAGATGTAGAAAGCAACTCTAGCCTTGAGATAGAAACTTTTTTGTTGTTGTTGCTTAAACGGAAAAAAATTATTCCATTAGATAATTCTCAAATTTAACAGTTATGATCGCTTTTACCTAAATGACCATATGAATATCTTGAAAGTTGTCTTCTGAGTTCCATGACTCTACTTTGATTTGAAGTAGTTTTCCTGATGTGCTATTAATAAGGAAGAAGAAGAGAAGAAGAGTGATGAAGGTAAGAAAATATTAACTCTTTTAGAACAACTCTGAGTCCCTTCTTTAAATTTATGTTGTAGTTTTTGAATGCAGTCTATGAAATCAGTCGTTAAATTAAATATGATCAAATATGAATCTTTACAATTTTATTATCCCCGTAGCTTTTAGATTTATTGTTTTTGCTGTTGTTTGTTTAGGCAGTTATCAATAATTTAAGAAAATAATTTTATCTTTTAAAAGTGCAGTTATAATTTTTGACAATGTTAGTACATGAGCAGAAGAGAAAATATGCAACACTATACTTAAAAAGAAGAGTATGAATTAGAAAAAAATTTCTAATTTGCAGAGGTAAATCTTTTGCTCTTTCTTTTCCCAGAGTTCAAATTCTGCCTCTAAATATTTACTCCAGAGACTTCACCTAACATAATCTCTGCTTTTTAATTTGAAAAATGAGAATTCTTATACTATACAATCCTGATGTTTCTTTTTAGTGTTAATATTTTATTTTTAATGATTATTTGAATTGTTATGGAATCTGACTATAAAGTCAGAGGATTAAATATCATTAGGTCATAGAGAAATAATGAGTTACATGGTGCAAATATCAAAACCACAAAGGAGCTGATATATTATTTTAATATTTTTCATATTTTGGCTCAAATTATAATCTAAAGAGAGATTCAAACTATATTATTAATTTAAATTTTCTTATATCAATTTTGAAATTTGTTAGCATAGCAACAAATAAAATAATACCTTATTATATAACTTATGTGTAGTGAATTTGCTTCTAAATTTCCCTTATGTTAATTGATGTTTTCTGGAGAAAGAAGACAGCACCAGTTGGGCATATTCTCATGGTTATTTTTTTCTAAGACAAAAATGTTATTTTGTGTAGTATGAGTATCTCTCACTCCTAACATCCCATAGAAGCAATGGTTCACTAGAATATTTATTACAGGAAGGAAAAGGGACATAAAATGTCTTGCTGAAATCTTCCTCTCCTGGATTTAAACAATTTCTCATTGCCAGGGCTAGAAGTGCTATGCAATCTGTTTCCAAATGTCAACAACTCAGGACATAATTGGAAAGCTCATATATCTAATTCAGTGTTCAGTTACATTTTATTTGGACTTTGTAGTGCACAATGTGATGTGTCAGCAAAATTGCGTTTTAGGAATGAAGCACTTAGTTCCCTAAACCCTGA